AGATTTCCTTAGACATCAGATCTTGGTCAGCACAGACCAACATAAAGAAACACATTAAATTTATTTCCATCCAACCACTTTGCTGCACTTTTTTTTAAATTCTCGTTCACAAAAAGAAAACTAAATTAACAAGAGTTCAATTCAGGACTTAGTGAAAACAGCCCAAATGGTTAACATGACTCCTGACAGGAAGCGGGCAGCGATTCACAGCACTTAAGCCTCCAAACCAGCTCTCCCTGTGCCCAGAGGCAGTGAGAGCACACAGCTAAAGCACCCCAAATAACAATCACTCAATACAGAGTGTGTCATAGAATTATTATTATTATTATTATTATTATTAGAATAAGTTCTCTGTCAAATAAAACATCGCCATGTGATCTGCTACTTCAGGACACTACAGAACAAATATTACTGGGACCACTACAGAAAATTGCAGATGAACATAAGGGGGTCAGACACAGTCCAGCCATATGTTAGGTTGTGACCAATTCTTGTTTCACTTTGCCCTCTCTGCTCCATCAGCTGCCCCCCGAGTGGCCCGAGCAGGGCTGGTTGGAGTTCCGCGATGTGGTTTTGGCCTACAGGGTCGGTCTTCCTAACGCTCTGGACGGGGTGAGCCTGGTAATGCGACCTGGGGAGAAGGTGGGCATCGTGGGACGTACGGGCTCTGGCAAGTCCACCCTGTTCCTGGCTCTGTTCCGTATGGTGGAGCTGAACCAGGGTCAGATTCTCCTGGACGGGATGGACATTGGCACTGTGGGCCTGGCTCAGCTCAGGTACGCCTAAAGTGGTTGTGGGTTTGGATGAGAATTTGTGAGCTAATATGGATCAGTAAACCCAGTTTAGAAGGTAAAGGTTAAAGCTCCAATGATACATATTCTGATGGTAATATTGTTTTGTTATCTTTTTTTTAACCTACTGTCAGTAGCAGGTTCAGCTGTCTCTGCTCCATTCCAAGATTTCTTCTATTTTTTGAGAATACATCCACTAAGGTTTAGACACATTTCTTCTGCAAGTGGAGCCAGATCTGCATCAAAATACCCACTGATAGACAATGGATATACATAAGAGGAGCATTTCATGAGAACAAATGCCTTTAATATTCAGATTTTCACTAAAATCTAATAGGGGTGGTAAAGGAAAGACTTCAGAACAGTTTTAATTGACTCTAACAAAATATATCATTCAAATTCAATTGCTTTATTTTAGTCTTTGCTTATTACTAACCCTAACCCATGTTTATATGTATTATAGTAATGATGCTGCTGCAATGAAACCCAGAAAGACTGACTGACATGTGGTGTGCATTGTTTTTCGATATATGAATCAGGATATACAGTCTCTAGAAGTGTTTGATTCAACTTTTCCCTTTGGTCTAGAGTTAAACTAAAGTAAATAGAAATTACAATAAACTGTAATATTGAACCACAGTACTTGAAGAATCGTGATAGGATGTGGTATCGAATTGGGACATAAGCATATCATCCCAGTCCTAAAATCGAAAGTCTTGTTGCTTGGCCCACGGCTGAACTTTCTGCCAAAATGCAACAAAAATGAAAAACACAACTTAAAATGACTGCAACAAGTCAAAGTTGACCCTTTTGTGTGTGTTGTGCTGGCGCCCTCTGCAGGTCCAGGTTGGCCATTATTCCTCAGGACCCCTTCCTGTTCAGCGGGACCATCAGGGAGAATCTGGACCCATGTGGGCGACACCCAGACCAGCAGCTGCTGGAAGTCCTGGACCAGTGCCACCTCAGCCCCGTGGTCAACAGGATGGGTGAGAGAGGGAGACAGAGGGGGGTGAAAGGGTGTAATGAGTGAAATCAAGGTGTGTTTGTAAAAGAAACCACCTGACTCACAGTCCTTTAAGTTCACAGAGTTCACTCCACCCTCCTGTCTGGTCACATGATCAGCGACTGTTCTTCATCGTGCCTCCTCTTCTCCTTCTTCTTTTCATCTTCCTCCTCCTCTCTCATGTGGTTTTATTTATCTCAGCAGTGGGGCGGAGAAAAGGAGGAGTGGTGGGATTCAGTTTTAGCTGCAGTTAAAAGGGTGTAAAATAAATAAATAAATATTTGATCTGCTGCTTCACACACAGTTTCATCCAACAAGCTTCAAAGTGATTAATGTGAGACGATTGGTGCTGTCAGATTCAGACTACCTCTCTAATGCCTTGTTGTGTGTTGTGTATCAGGTGGTCTGGATGCTGAGGTTGGGGAGAGGGGAAAATCCTTCTCTGTGGGACAGAGACAGCTGCTGTGTCTGGCCCGAGCTCTGCTGACCCAGGCCAAGGTGAGAGCTCAGCTGTGTTATTGTACCGTGACTCCAGCACAGATCAGCTGCTTACATTGTGCTTACCTGGGTGCAGCTCACAAGTTCAAACTGATCAGTGTTCAATGCTCTAAATAAAAAGCACAAAAACAAAAGCAAACACTGCTGGAGCAGCTACTTTTCCAGAAATACAACAGAACAGGTGTATCTGCAGTACAGTGCAGCCAAACAAACGTAATTAATAACGTAATCGTTTCATGCAGCGTGCAGTGAGAGTAGTTTCCAACAGAGTTTTTCCTTAAGGGACCCCTTTTCTATCAGTAAACAGATGACCCATGACTATGTGACATTTTACTTACTTAACAATACTTAATAATAACAATAACAGTTGAGAACAACTGATAAACTGCACAATGAACCGTGAACAGTGAACTCAATAACTGCAGGAAGTTTAAAATGGAGCCGGATGTTGGATGACATTTTGAGCAGGATATTTCCTTTTGCAGATATTGAGATGAGTGTTTCTGCGGAGATTTTTAGGACGATTTTTTATACAATTCTCTGTTTGCATTATGTATTAATAGAAATCCTCCCCGATGCTCGGACATTATAGGACAAATATAGTTCTCCTCCATCATGCACCATCCTGTGAGATATATCGGCCTACTGTGTATATGGAGCGCCTCAGCACCTCGTTTTTTCACGTCCGCCCTACTTGGGCACTCCCATCACAAAAAAAAAAAAAAAAAGGCCAGCATAAGAAACGAATGCTTCTTGCGCTTGGCAGCAGTTTGCGCTGAGGCCTTTTTAATTTTAAGGGGTTGTAAGTAAAACATTAAAAAT